ATGGTTTATACTATGACAAACTTGAGATACAGTTGTGATACAATTTTCTAAAGCATTTTTAGGATGAACAAGAGTGTAATGATTACTGAGACTACATTTGTTATATCTGTAAACCACGTGATATAGCTGAGTTGCACAGGTCATTAAATTGTTGAGTTGAAAACCATCCGATCTGTATGATGATGTCATGTGTTGGTTTTGAAGTATACAAATTTTCGGAGCCCCCCCCTAGCGCAACAATTTTTTCAGAGCCCCCCTTCGGGTGTCTAAAAATTTTCGAGCCCCCTCAATATCTTCATCCCCCCTTGTCATATTAAATGAACTTTCTCTTAGCAGCATTCAGATTCTAAAGTTTGGTGTTTGTCGGCTCCAACGAGATACAGCCATTCAAAAACTCCAAAATTTACAAGAAATCAATATAGACGTCCGGACGGTGTGTACGGCAACCCATACATCTCTTTTTTCGTAACCAATAAACCGACTGGTACCTAGCCCTTTTGGTTTGAAACTAAGCAATTGTATGGGTCGCGACACTGACTTTTTCAATCCCATCTACAAAACTGCCGTTTTATCTGCTATTTCAACGTTTCGGGCTACGTTATATTAACATTGTCTCAACACTGTCTGAAGACTGTCTTACAATCTCAATATTGTGTCAATATTAGTGCAGCACTATCTCAACACTGTCTCGACATTCCCACAACTCGGTCTTGAAATGGCGTCAATATACTCCCGCCTTCTATTCTAGGATGGTTCAAGAGGAACGGTTGCATAAAATTATTCTATATTCGTGACGGTTATCATGCTCACTGATCATTTCTTTAAAATTTCTTTTCGCTTCAGATGAAGAAATTATGGGGATACTTCTTCAGGATTATTTTGGTAGTGGATAATTGTGGCACAACCCAAGAGTTGTTATTATTGTTAATAATAATAAAGTAGTCTTGTAAATTCCTCCGTCGTGTGTGATTTTATTGACCCTCAGAGAAGAACTGCCACTCGCAATTGTGGGATTTGAAAACGTCAACCTAGGTGTGTAGTGAGAGGAATTTATCGCATATGAATATTTCATTCCACGGATTGTTTCGTTGCTTTTGTTTAGAGCGGTGAAGGAAGAATGGGATGGAGTGCCTTAGAGGCTCATTCCTCGCGCCGCTTCGCTGTTAGCTTCTCGCGCAACCTCGTCCGCAGGGTCTTCGCGTTTTCCAATATGGCGGCGTAAACCTCGTTCCCAGGTTCTCTCTCCTACCCGTAGGGACGGGTAGAAGAGAATTCTGGGAACGAGGTTGGGTATTCTCTCCTGTCATCGCCATATTGGAAAATGAGAAGACCTTGGGGTTGAGGTTGGCTTCGCGCGGTAATTCCGCGGCCAAACAGGACACACAATCAGATCCCGCTTATATAGTTAGTGCCTGTATATTTCTTCATCCCAGATAAGCATTCAGAATAGATCAAAATCAAAATCAAAACTGTTCAATAGATAAAGTCCGGAATTTGGGAAATGAAAGGAGGTAAATATACCAAGTTCCTCGCCAAGATTCAGGTCAGACGAATATTCCGTATACGAGATATCCGAAGAAATGTTTTACGCATATTTATAGAGATTTGTATGGAGACGCCATGCTGGTGCCCACCTGGATGGGCACCAACATGGCGGACGGAAACCAACAAAAACATCTGTTACCGAGTTTTGCTACAAAAGCGTGAATTTATTCCTCGAGGAACTCTTAACATTAAAGTAATACTTTTTGTAATCCATGAACTGTTTAGATAGCAAAATTCCTCGAAATAGGTCACTTTTTTAACCTACATGACAGCTCTCTCGGCTGTCAAGTAAATGCCACGTCACGCAAAAGCTTAGAAATTCAAGCGTACTCTATCACAAAACCAAGACCCCTTTTGAAGCGAAAATTTGTATGAAAATTAGTTTTCAGCTGCTCTAATACATCATGAAAGTAAAATCTCAGTAGATCGATAGTTTTGTAGTTTGCGCCTTAGTGACGTTATGTGAAAACCAACAATTAGGGCGGGTCGAGATGGCCACTCCCTCTTCTCTGAAACTGTGTTAAAACTTTGTTGGCAAACTAATTTTTGAACACAGCTGGTTTGTTTAAATGTTTGGATACAGATACTATCAGACTTCTTTCAAGGCTAACTCAGTGAAAAGTCCTATAGAGTCCGCAAGCCTTCTTCCCCCTTTTCCGGAATTTTTTGATTGTACCCCTGCATTATCCTTATTGTAATTTAATGCATTGATTATATTTTTTATATTGGTTGTGGCGGCGGCGAGGATGAGTTGGGGGGAGGGGGGGGGGCGGATTTTTAATTGTTAAATAATTGCGCGCGACAAGAGGGGCCCCCAGTCTTAATATCCAGGCTGCTGTTACGCATGCGCGACACGCATTCTTCATGATGTGGCTGGCCAGGAGCCCTCCTGGGCTGGCGCTATGACGTTTGATGACGATGATACTAGTGGTGGCGTGATGTGATAGACCAGGAGCTCCTGGATAGACTAATAGATCCCGAAAAGGGTAGTGAACTTCATGAACTGGAAATAGCACAAAAAGAAAAAAATTCTGTTGAGTCTCGTTGAAAAGGCGCCACAGGTATACCAAGCTCGAAATATGAGCATCGGCGAGCATCGGCATTGTTGCGTAATATTCCAAAAATATAAGGATTTGTATGGGGAAAAAACCTATCGTTTTCGTAACCTACGAAAATGAAAGGATTTCAATAAAAAACAGCTTGCTTTGTGTGACGTCTCTCCTGTGTGTGGTCCACGGGCGGATTTATGGCCGTTTTATGGGTTTTTATGTAAACGGTTTTCTCTCTATATAAGGTTTACCCCCGGGGGGGGGGGTACTGCCATATATGGGCTATATAGGTATGTGCCGCTGTGAAGGGTATGGTTTTCAAGCAGTTTACTCTGGGATAGGGTATATAAATCAGAGCGTTTGGCTCTAGAATAGGGTATTATTTTTCAGGAAACTGATCAGTTGGTTGAAGATTTTATCTAGACTAGGTACACAGCTACTCTAGGATAGGGGGATTTGGGGAGTTTACTCTAGTATAGGGTGGCAAAATTCAGCTGAACTAGCTCTGGTAAAGGTTAAGGGTTCCTGGCTCCCAGCGGCACATCCCCACCCAGAAATTCCTACAGTGCCCCCCCCCCCCGGGGGTTTACCTTCATTTCCCACATTCCTTACACAGGAGAGACGTAACACACATTTTAAGTAAGGTTAGCTGTTTTTTATTGAAATCCTTTCATTTTCGTAGGTTACGGAAACGATAGTTTTTTTTCCCATACAAATCCCTATATTTTGAATGTTACGCAACAATGCCGATGCTCGCCGATGCTCATATTTCAAGCTTGGGCAACCTGTGATGGCGCTCAAGAATGTTATTAATTTATTTCTATTTTTGTTTTGTTTAATTCACCTCTTTTTAATGATACAATAATAAATTAGAAACATTCGTCAGAAAATAAATCCCAAGGAAACCAAGATGCTTATACAACGCGGGTTTTTCTCTTTTTAATTACAAAATACACTAAATATTAACTGAACGGCGAATGTAGAGTAACAATAATACGTAGAAATTAGGTATTTCGAAGGATAAAGGAAAAACAAATATTAGAAAGAGAGTTACACCAAGCCACAAAGTCTTTGACTGACTCCAAGTTGGGAAAAGTTGGGATACCTGTGGTTTGCGACTTCAATCCCAGTCTTTACTCAGCCCATCAGACTTTTGATTAAGAAGTTCAGAACTCGTGACAGTCGTTGGGGCGTAGAGTTTTAATTGCCGGTAAAAGCTTACGTAATACTTTTTACTACAGAATGGCGAAGCCAACAGCGGGAATAGTTGTTGAACTCGAGACTAAGGTAAATTCGTTGCTAATACATTGTGTTTTAGCTCTGAACAAAGTTAAAAGTTCATGCCGCCATATTTTGTACTGCAAGCGATCGACTCCCTGATGCTCTTTCAACCGTAGCCAGAAGCAACTTGTTCTTAGTTTAATTTACCCACGCACTGTTTTTCACCTGTCTCAATCATATCGATAATCTATGAAAGATATCCAAATTGTCCTTTTTTCTTTTCTCGTTTGAAACACTAATTAAAGCTTATGCTAATAGGTTTTTTTTCACACGAGGCATACAGCCATGGTTGAGCATAATTTTTTTTGTCTAATTGGGCGATGACTTCAGCCAAACCACAGTCTGGCAGATTTTACTTTTTAAAAATAAGCCTGAACATGTACAATAGTCAACGATAGATCTTAAGCACTGACGATTTTTGAAAGTGTATTGTAATATATGAGGGTCTAAAATTTTTTGTGTAATACCCTTGAAAATTATCGCGTTCCATTTTCGGCAGTTCGAAACTGATTAATGTTGGGCCCCATACGGTTTTAGGAATTCTTGGAAGTAAAATGATTAATTTGCTTATTTATGATTAATTTAGTTATCTTTTCATATCGCTGTTGGTATTTGAAAGCAACTTTCCATTCGACCAAAACTTCCGGTTTTTAGTAATCCGCAAATTCCGTGTAGCAAATGGAACAGGCCCTGGCTGGTTTATAAAAAGCTCATTACTACTACCCCTTACGCCAATTAGAGTACACTAGACAATGTTTTTCTAGATAAAAATGTGAAATGGTCGTTCTGAGAGTGCCACAACTTTTCATACAAGACCCAACTCCAAACAGGTTCTGAGGATTTCTGAAGTCATTCTGAACAGTTTCAAAGTTTTCAGTTCCAGTGCTTTCCATTCTAAAGATTTAGATTTTGGGGGAACGTATGAAGCCTGAATTTCAGACGATTACTTCAAGTCGTTTTTACTCCCGCAGTAACATCTGAATCGACTGCCCATTAATGCCGTCCAGTGACATCACTTCTTCTTTGACCGTAATTCATGTTTGATGTTCAAAGTTTCAACTGCTTGCAGTACTCTGAATGAATCTGTTGTAATTCTGTAATCAAACTCAATCACAATGAAATATAAAATACACACACACTGAACACTTCAAAAACACAACAATTTTCTTTAATTGAAAAGAATCTATTTGGTCCTTAATGAAGAATAAAGAAAACAAGACAAAAGCTAACAGTATTGCCACACCTGAACTTTGGAAATTACAAGAAGGTTGAATCTCAGAAAACTTCGCATAAACAAAATCACTGCTGAATTACAAAGCGGCTCTAAATGAAAAACCTCCGCACTCTCCGCAATGATTCTTCATTCATAGTTCAATTTATCAATTCATAGTCTTGAAGACAAGTGTAATTTTGCTGTTTGCGATAAAGATTGTTGAAATTTTTCAACTCCACGTAATCTGCTGAATATCAAATGACAGTCCCGCTAAAATGTCTCGTAATTTTAATTATGCGAATGCTTGGACAATCAGCCAATCAAAATTACTACCTGTTTTTTGGGTTGTGACGTCACTGGATGGCATCAACGGCAGGTCAATTCAGACGTTACTGAGGGAGTAAAAACGACTTGAAGTAATCATCTGAAATTCAGGCTGGAACGTATGATCATTTAGACCAGTTTGATTGGGGCACGAGGAAATCTGATTTTGCAGCAACAGCCATTTTTAACTCTAACTTTGTCTAGGGAAGGAACCAGTTTTTGTGAACACTTTAAGGTCGGTACACACTAGGCGACAAGTTGCAGCAACATGTTGTGGCGACACATTGCAGCAACAAATCAATTCGTGTGTAGTGGAGAATTTTGTGAAAACTTTGTTGCTGCAACAGAATTTTGTCGCCTCAACAAGTCGCACAGATTCAGTCTGATTTGATTTTTTGCTACTCGTTGCAGCGACAAAATTCTGTCACGGAGACAAAGATTTTCACAAAAATTCTCCAGTACACACGAAGCGATTTGTCGCTGCGATGTGCGCCTCGCCTTGTTGCTGCAACTAGTCACCCGACCTGTACACATGGGGTGATCTGTCAAACACCGCGACAAAACGCAATGCACATGAGCACAAAATTTAATATCCGGTCAGCTTTTTATTTCCAGTGTAGTATATAAACCAATAGCGTAAGCATAACTTTGCTGTCGCGCCAAGTTTAAAAGCAAAAAGGGCGAAACAGACAAAAAAGGGGGCCAAAAAAATCACTTCATTCGAAAGCTTATATATTTTTCCATTCTCAAACTTTTGCACCACATGGTTATCTGTTTGCACCAACGGTGAAAATGATGTTTGAAGTTTGCAGGTCGCGAGCGCTCGACAAGACGAATTTGTTTTTACTGGCTTTCTTGCATGCTACTGGTTTGGCATAAGTTAATTTGGGAGAAGGCGACAACTAAGAAAAGAATAACAATACTTATGAAAGAAACCAAAATAAAGACGTCATCATTATCATAAAAACACTAAAACCAGGAAATAAAATTTTAGTCCGTTCAATAATTTGTTTTATTATCAGAGAAAACAAGAACTCAAAACAAGAGATGGGCGGGATTTAATAACAACTTTGACTTTGATGACTGCAATCACCGGGAAACTAAACATGCCTATAAATGACTTTCATTCAAGAAAATGCCTATTTAATTCTTTTACATGGTTGTTCTTTTGTTGAAGTCTTCAATAATTTCAGACTGTGCGGCTTGGCTGCATCTCATGCAAACACGAAACTTCTAGCTCCTAAATACATGGCATGAAAAGTTCGACTTCTAAAAGCCACTGAACCAGCTTTCGCTCTCTGATTCTGAGAATGAAAAAATAGATAAATAGAGTTGTCAACTTGCTGCCAACCGGCTCAACAGTATAATTAAGCTTATGTTTCATGGCAATCAACCCAGAAGAGTTTCGTTTTAAAACACGGTAAAACCCACTGGTAAACAAAACTACAAAGCGATTGTGTGTTGTCGTTTTCCAAATAAAGTTTGAATCGGCTTTAACACATGTAGACTGAGAAACTGAAGAACTGAAAATTAGAACTACAATACACAAGCTTGCAATGATAACGTTTTAATTTTATGTCTTAGTTTCAGCCAGGTTAAGTGAAAAATAACAGTCAAAAACTTTATTTTCGTGAATGAAAATCAGTTTACCTGACGCTCTAGCCAAAATTACACACTGAGTTATTATCATCTTACCTTTTCTGAATCTAATCGACTAATTGTTTCAGTGATCTGTGCCTGGTTATCCATAAAAGCAATTTCAATAACTACAAAATAGTCAAAAACTCGAGCAGCATAAAGCAGAACAACTGAAACACAAGCTGCACACAGAATGAAGCCGAGAGCGCGCGGGAGACTTTGATCTGACTGGAAAGTGTGACTGAAAAAGAGACCGGAAATGCTCAACCTGGCGCATGCGTAGACGTTTTGCCGCGGTGTTGATCTGTCACCGCGACGTGTTGCTGCAACTTGTCGCCTGGTGTGTACCGACCTTTAATGTGCAGATGTCTGGCTCACTCACTGACTCACTCAGGTGTAGATATTTTGAAATAATATTACAAGTTGACACCAAACAACAGGGTGCGTACAGGTCAAGTCATGGATTTTAAGAATTTCATTTTCCAGGCCTGGAAAGTCATGGAATTTAATTTTTGGCCCATGGAAGTCATGGAAAATTAAAGTTTTGTTTGATAAATTAGTTACTGCAGATGTCAAGGCAAGGACAATGGAAGACAGAAAGGAGAAATTAAACAGCACAAACGGCATGCATTGTGGTGGACACCAGAGTTTGTGTCTGTTGAATTGTTTAAGGTCAAGAATAACCTAAGCAAGGAAAGTTTATAAATTTTCTGAAACTAACAGCTAAACCTAAGGTCCTGGAAAAGTTGAAAAGGTCTTTGAAAAAGTCATGGAAAGTCGTGGAATTTGAACACTGAACAAGAGTGCCCATATCAAAAGGACAAAAATTGTCAAAGATCAATTGTTTCCGGAGGGCCTAACCTTATCTGTGGAAGCAACAACTTACCTAAAGTTGATCAAAATTAAAGGGACTGTGTCAGGGCAGCACAGTTTATTTTGTTTAATTTTGCCAATAATTACTCGTCCTCAAATCGCTATGGAACGTAAAGTAAGCAAAGAGATTACATGTAAATGACAAAGTCAGTGATTCGAGACAAATATGTCTCCTGAGCATTATTTTCAAAGTTGCAAACAGCAGAGATAACCGTTTAAAAACTGTTAGGTTGAACAGTTTTCAAAAACTCTAATTTCAATCCGTTTCAATCTTCAGTTTTGCCCATCTGTGGCATCTGTTGTAGCCTTCCTTTAATGTTTTAAGAGGTTATTTTTATGTTTCTCTCGGATTTAACGGGCATTTTGTAATTACCTAATTTGGCTGAATTTGGTGACACAGCTCCTTTAAACCACATGCTTTAACACTCTGCTCAGAGAGGAGAGGCAGCTTTACTAGTAAATTTTATGAATGCTAAAGGTTATAGTTTGGATTTTTTTGTCTTCTTACTGCCAAACTCAGAAAACCGTAAACACCGAAAAATTTCAGGAATGTTGATTGTGTACATGTGGTGACCAATCACAGTTAAGTTCTAGGCACTTGAGCAAACCGCAAAGTAATAACTTTTTTTTTTTCAGTTTTATAAGTTTTCTCACTCCTTATTGGGTATTTCCTTGTAACGCAGTAACATTCCATAAAAATATTTAGAACTAGTGTTCGTGGTTTTGTGAGTTTCACAGTAAGTTGCAATTATGTACCGTTTTAATCTAATATTAATCATGACTGTAATTTCTGCAGGTCGATTTTGATACATTTCTCAAGGAAGCAGGCTCAACACTTGTTGTTGTAGACTTTTATGCTGATTGGTGTGGCCCGTGCAAGCTGATAGCTCCAAAAATTAAGGTACTAATAATTTTACGTCAATTTAGCCAGGCCTAAAAGCTGAGCTGCCATGATGTGCTTGAAAAAGAAATGAACACAACCACATTCAGGGTTCTCAATAGATTTTTAAGTAGGAGGTGATCACTGATAAAGTAGGAGGCTCTTCAGCAAAGCCAGAGGTGTCAAAACAAAGCAAAGAAAAGCGACCTAAACATAAAGTAAGCCTTAAATAAAGTATGACCATTGAGAACCCTGCACATTAACATGACAATGCCTTTATATATGACCAATGACTGACTTTAAATATATGGGATCTTCAAAATTTTGCTTGTTTTATGATCAGTCAAATGTTTGGTAAGATGTGTAAAAAAGCCAAGCATTCAGGTGATGTGTGTGATTCCTGGAAGATTGATAATGACTGTGTACTACTACTTGTCACTGCGTATTATTCTTAGTTCTAATTGCCAAGTACCATAATGTGACACCATCCTGCAAATTCACAAGGTTCAGTCAAGCTCATACATCCTGGCATGTCGGTAAAAACCCATTGTAAGAACCCGCTGTGGTTTAAGGACATGCTGGCAGAAATTCTTACTGGGTTTCTACCGTAGTTTTTCAGAAAGTGATAGAGTTAAATTTGTACTGAATTTGTAATATAGACAGGATTGTTTCTGTTACAGGGTTTTGCAGAGGAGTTTAGTGGAAAGGTATATTTTGCAAAAGTCAATGTGGATGAAAATGAGGTAAGTAAGAAGACCAGCACTCTGTAGCAAATTTCCCAATGTTTGAAATATGTAATATTTATTATCTCCTTCCTGAGAATGTTTTATGACAATAGCTGTCTTGTTATTGGCTAAGAGCCTACGGTTTATTCTGGAAATCAGTTCACCCCAGCAGATAACTGAATAATGTGTGTTTCAGAAATAATAAATTGTGTTTGATGTGACAGTGTTGTACCTATTAAATAATGTATGATCAAACAATAAATATTACCAAATTCAGGTTCTGTGATATCCAGAATAATCAAGGTCTTGGTAATCATTATCAGCTGAGGCTGATAACACTTACCAAGACCTTGATTTACTAAAATATCTAATCACAGAAACCTCATAATTTTGAGAATCCTCTCAATGAGAAGAAAATGAGAACAATATGCTTTTGCTGGGCTCGGTACATTATTATTAAGACTGCAGCTGTGTAGCTGAAATCTTTACACTCTACCTCGTGGAAAGTTATTTTTTCTCAACCTTTTTCTTCTCCGGGTGCAAAGAAGGTCAGTTTTTTAGCCTGCCATTCGGGCAAGCTGTAGCTAGCATGTAGTAGCCTACAAGTCATTTCAACTAGCCCCCAAACTCTTTTTGATTAGCAGGATTGATTACAATCCTCCTGTAATTTGAATTTCCCCCAAAAAACAGCACTTGCCCGTCGAGCAAGTTAAGATAAAAAATCAGTAGCCCGATGGCAAATCCACTAGCCCCGGCCTATCGCACAAGACTTTCTTTGCTCACTGCTTCTAATGGTAAATAAGTAACAGCAAGTCATGTTGTCCAGTTCTGTCTGCAATAATCATACCATGATAAAACAGATCACCCCATTTTTGTAATCTATGATTACAAGCTGCTCAATCAAGCTTCATTCAATTCTTGAATTTAAGCATTGTTTTCAGGTGTTGGAATATCAGATTATAAAACAAACGTTTTTGAGTCTTTGATCAAGTTTTTGAAATAATCATGATTATTTTGTTATTGTGGAAATTCTCAATTAAGTTAGTGGTCAAAATATTTGTCATTTTTGAAGTAGGATTAAGGTGGTCAATTATTTTTCCCTCATACAGTAAAAGCCCACATATAAGAATTATATAATTTGGCATTTAAATACCCCAAAAAATAAGAACCTGTTCAGCCTGGAAAAGAAAAATAGGTTCTTATACAAAAAAGCCACTCCAATTTTGATCGTCAAAATTCTGGATTGCAATATTATTGTCTGTGTGAGAAACATCTGGCAAAAGGTTATTGTGTATATGTTTTCTCTGAAAATCCAAACAAATTTTGTTTGGATTTTCTCAAGAAATCTGTTTTCCATAAACCATTATGTATCAGTAGCACAATTTTTCTGCCAATGGTTGCACTATGACAACCTCTGAAAAATTAAAACCAGAGTATTAAGAACCTAATCAGCCTGAATTGTGAAAAACTACCGTATAATAATATTATAAGGACCTGTTCAGCCTGACCTCGAAAATTGTAGGTACTTATATGTGGGTTTTTACTGTATTGTAAATGATTTGTGAATTTTGAGTTTACTCTACAGCCAGTGATGATTGTTATTGTTAGCTGGTGAATATATTCATGAAATTCTTTATTCTGTATGAGGCTATCTCATGCAGTATGAAGAATTTCTCATTCATGGTATTACACAGCCAGTGCATGCATATTTTTGGCTTTAATATGTTTGCAGTTTACATAATTGTAATGAAACATTCTCTGGAATAATGTTGGATGAGGTTTGAAAGGGCCCTTACTTTTTTTTTGTAACAGGAAACTGCTGAAAGTCAGGGAATTTCAGCCATGCCTACTTTCAAGCTCTACAAAGATGGCAAACAGGTACAAGGACAATTTTATTTGCTTTATAATCTTTTTTTTTTTTTCAAAAGATAAAAACCTTTGGAGTAGAAACAATAGACAAACGGTTGTGAAAGAAATGTGTTATCTTAATGGAATGTTGATCATGGCCTCTATTCGTTGCCTTGGCAACGGTGAAGGTGATATGTTATTTTCACATGTGAAGATATCATGTTTTCGCACAAAAGCTCACCTGGTATTTCATCGGTGTTTATATGATAAGAGAGAATAAGCAGTGATTTTGTTACAAAAAGTTTTGGTGAGTCCTGAGACTCATCTTGTGAAAAATCTTGAGTCCCTGTCCACCAATGAGTTCCAGTCCAAAAAAACAAGGAGTCATAAATGTAACAGTTTACTGAAATTAAAATATAGTCCTTCTATTGCTGGTTTGCATGTCATGTGATGGCAGCCATGTTGGTGGCCATGCAAGAACAAAGCGTTGCTCTCCTCTGGGAACTAAATTATTCAAGGAAAAATTCTATTGTATTGAACCCAATATGGCCGCCTTGTCACATGGTTGCAAGCCAAGAATATATTTAAAGCACAAAAAAGACTTCTAAAATTAATATAGAAGTGAATATGCATCTTTAAAAAACAGCCACAGAAATCACACGAACAGGATATTCTACCCAAAAAGTCTTCAAATCGGTCGATCATTCTTTGCATCCCATGGGATGCATTCCATGAATTATTGTGCATCTTGGGGGATTGTTCTTGCGTCAGGGACGCAGGACGCAGAGGTAACAAAATCACTGGTAAGGGGTTGTACCTCAGGCTGGAGCCTCCCTGTATTAAACTTTGATTAGTAGCTGCCCCCCCCACTACCCCCCATTCTTTATGAGGGCTTGATCTGTTTTTCCTTGTTTTACTTTTTGTCATTGTGAAGAAGGGCACAGGCTGGATTGAACATGAGGGGTGATAAATGGTCCATTGAAATTTTTAACTGCTCGCAAAATTTTACCTTTGCTCGATTTGCTCGCAAAATTTAAACGAGTGCTCGCTTGCTCGTGCTCCCCAAATTTTTGCATCTCGCAAGCTCGCAAAGCAAACTTTTTATTTCTGCTTGTGCTCACAAAAAAATCGCAGTGCTCGGCATGCTCGCGAATGCTCGCAAAGACCATTCGTCACCCCTAACATGTAAGAGCCGAGTTAGATTTTAATGTCTCTCTCTCTCTTACTAAACCACATTTACTCCTTACAGTGCCAAACACGGGATATATTTAATGGTGTATACCGTATATTTAATGGTGATATATTTTAATAGTGCCAAACATAGGGGATATATTTAATACAAAATTCTAGCATTTTTCTTGTTGTTCTAGGTTGGTGAGCTAACTGGTGCGAATGAAGCCAAGCTAAGGGAACTAATTGAAAAGCACATATAACTTAACTTGCCTAATTAGGATTGTATTGAAACATCTCAACCCATGTATACCCTCATAGAACATTATTGTTTGATTGCTGTACACCCATCTATCCTAGTACATTTGAACTTGCTGAGAACTATTTTAATAGTTTAGGACATCTCCTCAACCGAATTATCTCAAGGGATTTAGCTCATGCTGCATAACCTTGCAAAATGCAAAGCACTAAGTGAGTTTTGTCGTTAGTTCTTTGTTAAGAGCACTGTGATGTTTGAATAAATTCCTCCTGTCAAGTGAACCAAGCTAATCATGGTTTAAGAATTGAGGGAAGTTTACCATGATTTCTATTTATTTATTGCCATGGGTCCATTCTTGTTTCTAGAGCTGCAATCCACTCCATCTGGGGCACTGACCAAAAGGATCGCAGCACTGGAGACGAGAATGGTACAGGTGATTCTAAGGTTGTGTGTGAAACTGGGCTGGTTTTCGGTCAAATTACATTGTGGGACTGTCTTGTGGGAAAATTTTCCTAGTTTCCTGCACAACCTTGAATAGCCAATGAAAGAGGCAATGGCATATCCAAAACAGTCACGCAATGTGTAATTAAACACAGCACCGACCAAGTCTCGTGTTCAACCACAGTATCACCAATACAGTGGGTTCTCAACATTGCTGGTCAATCCTCGTAGTAGGCAGGACTTGTTTCACGTATGAACCTAGCACATAGCCTTCCTTTCCACGAGTCTCTCAGTAGATGGGTCATAGGTTCCAATCCTGACCATCCCAGTGACGCCAGTGACTGGACACAAGGCCCCGTCCAGTTGAGCTTATTAAGCCAACCTGAGAGCAAGTCAGTTGAGTAAGTCTTTTGACTTTTTGAACCGTGAGGGGAAGAAAATGAGGCCCTACCTGCGTTAATATTGCGTCGAGCCTTTGAAGGCTTTGAATTCCTGGCAGCACTAATCTCTGGTCGAGTCAACCTTGTTCTGTTTTTCGAGTGCGCGCATCTGTTTATTGATAAACCGATGGTCAAACTGAGCCAGCTGTACCAAGAGCGTGGCTATTAGGCCTGGGTTCGAAACTGTACAAAAATCTTACTCCATCCATGTAGCGATAGTCCTTCTCGCGTACGCCAAAATCGAGCGGTCAGCTAGCAGAGAGATCAAAGAGGCTCTAACAAATTTGAAAAAACTCGTCCTTGGTGGTGGGTGGGGGCTGCCCGGCTAGCTAAAATGGAATAGTACTGGTCCCCTGAGCTGGAGGCCCGGGTTTACACACCTACCAGGTCATTTAAAAAACTCGGCAAGATCATGATTAGTGTGTTTGTATCAGTTCAGATGCAGGTGTTGGCCGCTGTCTTCTTCATCCCTCCTTTATCAGTGAAGTTGAAGGGGATGAAAAAGAACCCACGCTATTGTTAAAGAAAATTGAAGTTTTTCCATCATTGGTGTGGTCTAAAACTTCTTATCACACATGTGCAGTATGCTCACAGTCAGTGACGACTTTGTTGGCTGACGTCCGAGCTTACTATTCATACTATGTGGGCATGCTTACTTTAACAGGCCATTTCCGAGTTCCATAAACCCTCTCTTTCAAAATGAGGCAAAGTGCACAACCTTTCTTGTGAAAATGAGTTTTATTTGCATGAGAATGAAAAATCATTTCCACATCAAAGGCTGAGCACTTAACCTCGTTTTGATACAGAGGCTCGGAAATGGCCTATTAGGGCGAAGGGAGAAATTTCGAGGACGCGCGCAGACGAGGGGATCGAGTAATCCTCCTCCCTTCGCGTGTTCCCTCGCGCGCTGTAAAAACTAACCGGCGCTTGCCGCGCAGGCTATATTCATACATATTAATGAAAAGAAAACACGTTCTGTTATCCTGTCATCCGCGACATAACATAACCAAAAACGTTCATTGATTGTTAATTATGAATGTGTTGAAAAGTTTTTAAAATAATTGGGTAGGAACACTGTCGTTAAAGGATAAAGCTGCTTAGCCTGACTTTGAAATACCTGAGTTGTTATAATTACAGAAAAACTGGCCGATTTTGTCAACAAAAAGAGGAGCTTCTCTCGCTTCTCGAAAAGTTATTCCGTTGAAATGACGCACTTTGGATCTTAAAATAAGCTCATTTATTGAAACATTTATTACTTTTACATCTTTGAAACACTCTTTAGAAATAAGAGGAGCTGAAAAAAGTATTTTTCCGTTTTATGTTTCCCTGGTTTGTTTACTCGAGTGTGTTATAGACTAAGATTACATTTCAATTGCCTGCAGGTTTTGACACCTTTTAAAGTTTACAAAATTTAAGCTATTAGTTATAATGTTTGTACGTCACATAGATTCAAGAAAAGAAAGAAAGAAAAAACTCATTTTGGCGACGTCTCTCACCGAGTCTTGTGTCACGTTCGTCTCAGAGCCCACGCGTTTCCATTGAAGCAACGTATGAAATACAAGGCTACTTTGCAGTCTTCTTTGGGGAAAACGCACAATTGCAAGATTGAAAGTGGATTATAGTTCATCAGATTTAATTTTGTAACAGGCACGCAGTTAAAGAAAATTGAGTTTTATTAACCTCTACATCATTAAGTTTGTTGTTCTTTAATTCTCCCTTTCTCGAGATACTTAGATTTATCGATTGGGAAAATCGAGACCATGTGCCATTGAGACACAAAGAAAGCAAAACTGCATTGCTGCTGTTAAAACTATCATTATTTAAGCTTGAAATAGAAGTCTACTTTCCAGTAGTCTCTTCAACTAGTGTAAAAGGAAATAAAATATGGAAAAAGGATACGAATATCGCCTCCAATTCCCAGCCTTATGACGTGATACGGTGGACGCGATCGTCAATGAAATAATTGTTGATCGGTCATCCCCGATGGAATTCGAAAATTGAAATAAGCAAGAGAAACACAAAATGAATGCTGGCACCTGTGTGAAATAAGGTGAGGTGAAGTTAAAGGCGCACACGATTGGTAGCCTGTGTACAGACGCCGCTTCCCTTAAAAAAAATTCCTGAGGGGAGGCTGAACACAGGCTAACGAGCTGAGAAATGGACATGAAGACATTCGCTTCTTTCACATTCCCTTAATACAGCTTCTTTACCCCCCAAAAGTTTTGCAAAAGCATTGTTTCCAATTTCTCTTGGGATTTTCAATCCTCCCAAGAGAACTTGAAAACAATACTTTTGCAAAATTTTGGGGGTAAACAAGCTGTATTACGGCTGATTATGGTTAATGGGAAAGTAGTGAATTGAGAAAATGGTCGCCGGCCAAACCATATCACGTGACATTATTGAAATAGCAACGCGATGGAAATTTGAAGGCGAAACTCGAGAGAATGCGAAAATATCGTACAATTTTTTTTGGTCTGACACTGAAACACTGGGCGCTTTCCATTTACTCAAAATTTCCGGAATTTCCGGTTCGGCGGTAAATGGAACACGTTTCGTCGGTTCGTCCCACTGGAAAATTCCCAGAAAAAGTGGAAAATCTAAAAAGGTGGTCCCGTTTTCCCGGTTGGAATTTCCGAACGGAATCTCGTGTTCCATTTACGTTTCTCGCAGTTTGTACCAGTTCCAGGTCCACGGTCGGGCACCGCCATGTACCGGGGTTTACGACCAAATGGAACAACTTTTTACCAATCGGAAATTCCACTTTTGCTACCACCGAAATTTCCGGGTTTTTTTTCTAAATGGAAAGCGCCCACTATTTCCGGAATTTTCAAAGAAATACGGAACGAGATGTTATTTACACAATTAGTACAAAGTTCTTTCTAGAGATTTCCTTCGAAAGAATCGATACGGACAAAGACTTTTTAAGCCGTTTCTAGGCCAACTAGGGTCGTTAGCTTTCTCCTAGACTGTGGCTTTCCTCTTCATTTGCCTGTTGTACTTGTGAAGCCGCCGCCATCACTTGAATTTGACCCAGAAGCTGTTGTACATCAGGTTGGTTGGGATCAATGGCCACGTATACGGCGTTACTATCGACCAGCGGCACACCGTCTTCTGACGTCACTGGGACAGTGGTACTCTCTTGAAGCACATGCTCTGTAACAACCTGAATAAGAAAAACAGACATTTTTACATGCAAGACAAGCAAGGAAAATATTGGGCCTTTGTCTTCTACCGCGTCACAGCTCACACTTGCTAGAGCAACTAGTACAGGCATGTTGACCTTTCCTCAAGTGGTCAACCACTTTTGGGCAAATGACCATATCTCTCCTTGCCTAGATTATTCGGTAGTTTCCACTTCCGGGAAATGTAACACCCTCGTAGAACTCTGAATCACAGTATCCCTTACCTTTAGGCATGTTTAACACCTCCACAAAAGTAACAATCAGTTTTGACCACGGTCCCTGATTGCCCTGATTCCTGACCAAGGGAACCGTTTCTCGAAAGTCCCGGTAACTTTTCGGGCCCGAAAACAAATATTCAAATCGAAATATAAAGAATAAGAGCGCGGGTTCTGGCTAGCAAACTACTCCATTTTCTTTCATTAACTGATAGTTTTATCACGTTATATGCAAAACTATTGAAACCTCGATCTTTAATGTAAACGGAGACAGCTTACCGTGCCCCTTAATAATCGGGACTTTCGAGAAACGGGCCCCAGTCCCCCTTTAGTGGCACGAAGCAGCCCCGCAAGACGCTGAATCAAGATATTTCTTGTTGGGGTAAAGGGTCTCGATGTTGACAAGAAATCCGTGTTGCACACAAGTCATTAATTGAAAGAAAACTCTTGTGCGAAGTGAGACGCGAAACGTTCAAACCGCCTTACGGCCTTCGATTCGCGAAGAACTAAGCCACATTAAATACCTCGTCATGATGATTTCCACCAGAGTCCTCCACCACTTCAGTTCCGATGACCATCCCCGCTTGCCCGGATTCCTGGGCAGTTGCCCCTTCGGGGACATGTAGCACCCCTGCTGAGCTCTGAATAAGGATATCTCCCGCACTCGTCTGTATAGACGTAGGCTCTCCAGCCACATGTTGCGCGGCTGCCTGGTTGACGATTTGCTCTGCCAGCTCAGCTGTTATTTCGGGAATGGTCACTGAAATATTAAAAACGAAAGAAGAACTATAGTCGATTCTCTCTTAATGGACACCCCGTGAAAACGGACACCTAGAGTTGGTCCTTGCCTTTCTTCACTTCCTATGTTTTACGGACATCACTTGCAAAGAGTCTGTCTTAGAGACAGTTAACCAGAGAATCAGGTATTCAGAAATGTCAGGTTTTCTAGAGGAAGAAAAACCGGACAAACTTTTGTAGTAGGACCGAAGGACGTTAAAACACTCAGCCCGTATATAAGAGGCGGCTTCAGGAATAGAGTGGTTCTTATATGTCCGGAAAATCCCGATCAACAAATTAGGGACCTTAAGATCTGACGACGGCGACGGCAGCGAGAACTTCAAAAAAGCAATAGGTTTAGACCCTGTTTACATGGAGTGGGGGACCCCGGTTTAGTGGGGTAGGTTTCTTTTGTTTTGTGTCCCCCGAAGCGTGAAAACAAAAGAAACCAACCCCACTAGACCGGGGTCCCCCACTCCGTGTAAACAGGCCCTTAGACTAGCAAAACAACAACTTTGCACGTGCGTCACGCTTTTTTGTACATTTCTCTTTTTCGTCACTGCACGACTTCGTCGTGAAAATGCCTAATTAAGCGTTTTATAGAGGACGTAAACAGGCGACCACGAACTTTTCTTTCTCTTTCTGAACTTGGAAATGGTTTTAAGGATTTCAGCTCCAGGAGAGTTCGCCTACATTATACAAAGTAAGTAAGTTGGAATAACGGCGATGAACGCCAGCTGTCTCACTTTTGTGACTAATGCTGATTGGGCGTCCTTATTTGCTATGGAAATTGAGAAATCTTGCGAATGACTGAATTACAACTTTGTGTGAGACCAGGAGTCCAAGTTATCGGCTCCTGGTGAGACAAATAATGTCTCCGAAACTTTTTTTTTTTAAAAGTTACACACAACAAAACTGTTTGGCTAACAAGTTTTCAAGTCCAGGAATTTCAGTCCGTTACAATCTTCTTCAAGTTTGTCCATCAGTTCCTCCTTTTGTTTTCGCTGTGTTATTTATACCTTCTTTTAGGGCCCGTTTACATGGAGGTGGGGTACCCCAGATAGGTGAGGTAACCCGCTTAGGTGAGGTAACCCGCCTGTCCACATAACCTTTCAATTTAATGTGATCACGTTTACATGATAGGTGGGGTAACGCGCCACATGTTACCTCACCTACCTGGGGTCCCCTACCTTCATGTAAAGAGACCCTTAATGTTATTTTTATGTTTCACCTGGTTTGGTGGCAGTTCCCACTGTTTGACTTTTGTATAAATTTCGTGACACAGTAAAACAACTTACAGAAGCCTGCTCTTCCCCACCTCTCCCCCGAAAGGATACATGTCGCGAAACTAACCTGTCGTTATTTGCGGCTGGTCCACGTCGGGTTCTCCGTCATCCGCATCAGTCCCTCCGCGTCCATTCCGTTGTGTCTGCACCTGGTTTAGTAGATGTTGCGCAAGCAGAAGTTGCTGAGCTAAAGTGATTTTAAACTGACTTCCTTCTTGGTCAGCGCCTTGAACAACGATCTGAGGTCCGCCGGCCCCTTCGGTCACCTCGGCGCTCAGGTTATGAGGGACGATTTCGCCCAAAACCTGCGTAACTTGCTGCAGCAGAGAGGTATCTGGGACTTTTGTTTCTGAAGTTCTGGCTGTACCTGGGACGTCGTTCTGGAAAGAAATGACAAAAAGGCATGTTGCTTTGAGAAGAGAAAAACTGTGATTAGAGCATCGAGGTTAATTTGCACCTGGTCAACTGCGATACGTTCTCCCTACTCTCTTGGAGCCTGGAACAAGCTAACCATTCGCCCCACTATTTTGGAGCCTAGAACAGGGTAACCAAACACCAATCGCCACTTATCAGTGAAGATTTTATTTCTTATCCTTCAAGCGTTAGTGCCTGGTACAGGTGATCTGTCTTGCAGGCTGGTTCACTTTGCCAAAACCGGGACGCGTTAATTAAACGCAACAAAAATCAGCTTTTAGATTAAACCTAACTCCTATGTTCAATTATCGTGTCTTTGAAAGCTAGCACAAGCTCAGTATTTCTGGAGTTTCATTTCAATACTAATATCGGCAGAGAATCTGAGAAAACAAAACTTAGCCCGGCAAACAATGTACGTTAACTAGGGAAATCGGTTACGGTTTCTTTCTGAACGTGGGACGTCAAACCAAATCTCCAGCCCATCAGAGCATAACTGTGTCTGGGCTAATCAGAAAAAAATCTAATAAATACTGTTTTTTACATGCAGGATGCAAAGAAGGCCAGTTTTACAGCCTGCCATTCGGGCAAGCTGTAGCTAGTATGTACTAGCCAACAAGTCATTTCAACTAGCCGTAAAACCCTTTTGATTAGCAGGATTAATCCTTCTGTAATTTGAATTTCCCAAAAAAACAGCATTTGCCCGTCGGGCAAGTTAAGAACAAAAACCACTAGCCCGATAGCAAAATCCACTAGCCCTGGGCTATCAGACACGACTTTCTTTGCACGCTGACATGTGATCTGGTAAATAAATAGAAAGCTTTAGATTTGAGGACGAGGAAAGAGTACGAGTGCAGTTTTTAACTTAAAGTTTTTTCGCGTGTTCTCGAAAAATATTCAACCCGGAAAGCTTCACTGTATAATTTTTCACCTGAAAAATTAGTGAGGTTATCTTTTTATTGGAGAAGGTTTAGCCCTTCCCGGTCGCAAAATGATTAAACTTGTTCCCGCCACTACGACATTCTCGCTAAAACTAGTAGTAGAATGACGACTACTACCACGTTTTCCCGCCAAAATGACGCTGGTTCTCGCGCGAGCACTACTTAGTATTGAGAAAATCTCGTACTCGTAGTCGTCCTCGTCTCAGAATCTAAAGCTCTCTAATGATCTATGCCCTCCTTTGCCCTCCTAGGGAAGCCATGATCGCAGGCTTGTGATACCCGGATGAACGTCACCGCGGCAAACTTAGCCAGCCCGGCTCATTTGATCAGGCTCTTACAAGGACTCACTAGATTGGCCGGGAAAACAATAACCAAACAAAGTTAACAATGGAACTAGTCCACAAAGAACGGACGTGCGACTTATAGAGGTCGACCGAAATAAGAGGTTTTAATGAGCTACCACACTTCTCGATATACCGGTATAATGTAGAAGACCTATCCTTTCTTTTGTACAAGCATTTCATAAAGAAGTGGCTGAACAAGAATCGCTATTACACCGTCGAATTTGGCGACAGTCCCAAGTACCTCGTCGTCCTTATTCGCGTCCGTTCCTCCATCACCTTCTGCTTTATCAGCCTCGCTTTTGTCATTTTGTATGCTCTGGGCAGCGGTTTCCTCTTCCATAGAATCCAGGCCTTCCTGGCCATCCACGACCATTTGAGATTGTGAGGAAGCGTCATCGAACTTGAAGTCTGTTTGACTCTCCTGACTAGCGTGTTTGGCATGTGTGTTGAGGTGGTTTTTTAGGTAATTTAGGCGGGTGAATTTTTTGTCGCAGTGCTCACAGGCAAATGGTTTCTCTCCTTTGTGTATGTTCAAGTGCCGTTTGTAGGTGGTGAGGTAGTTGAATTCTTTTTCACAAGTGTCGCATTTATACGGACGGTCACCTGAAAAAAAAATTCATTCTTATCTAATTTGAAAAACACAGAAGACGAACATAAAAGAATAAAAAGGAAGTTTTAAAACTTCGCTTCGCTTCGCGCGTTGAACAAACTATTTTGAGAAAAAAACCGCCTCCTTTTGTAGCCTAGGATGATTTAAAAGTTTTGAGAAATTTATAAAATGGGTGTAAGGCAGCTCGTCTTATTAATACGAGGAGATTTAATTTCATTTATAAAAAACAACAAACAACAACAACAACCTGTTAAATGTGGGGAAGGAATGAAAAAGGAGTGTAATCTTAGCAATGAGAAACGCCTTTGTTTTTCAGGACATATGGCAGCCGTCGAGTCACTTGTAAACTAGTAATATTATACAACTGAAAGTAACAGAACATTTTCCGAAACTTTTCGTTACGCTGGTGAACTTTGCAGCTAGACTTTTCCTACCTGTGTGTAATCTTATGTGGTTCTTGTAGCTGTCCAATCGAGTGAAATCTCTACCACAGTGTTCACATGTAAAGGGTTTGAACCCCGTATGAAGGCGAAGGTGACGCTTGTGACTTCCAAAATCTGAGAACACTTTGCCACAGAATTCACACTAAAAGAGAGAAAGCAGTGTCTGTTGAGTCGATACATAAAAATCAAATGTTTGCAACAAAGTATTGTATACACAAGGATAAGTTTTGTAAATTTTATATTTCTTAACGTTTAATGCGGATTTCTAAGGGTTGATTTCCAAGGTCACGTAATTTTTACCTGCGTACGCGCGTAAAATTTACGTACGCAAATAAAATAGAGGCAACGTATGAACATGATGAAAGGTCGCACGTAAGCGTAAAAGTAGAACCTCGCTAAACCTCATGTTTAATCTCGGCACTTTATATCTTGCCTTTATTTTATTTACGTGATTAAAAGTTACGTGCGTTAACGTGCGTAGACAAAAATGCGTCAGTGAAATCAATCTTTAGGGTATCTTCGTTGCGCCACGAAAAGCTATTCGGGATAGTATGAACTCTTGAATGAACACCTAACCGATATATGACTCTCCGGTTTAGCGTCCTCTCAGAAATCGTGCTGCCACATCAATGTTTATTTGTGAACAGAAGACCTATCCGGTATGATTTTCGTGGCAGCGCAAAAGGTCTTGACAAGGTTTAAAAGTAATATATAACAGTCTTCAGTAACACCCTAGTTTAAGGTATCAAAACTCTTTCACCATCTCAGAAAAGGTTCCACAGTGAAGTAGAGATTTTACTGGCAAAAGACTCTTACCTTGAATGGTTTCTCTCCCGTGTGTGTTCTTGCATGTCTCTTGAGATCTCCTAAGTTAGCGAATCCATGTCCACACTGATCACACTGATAAGGGCGTTCCCCAGTGTGAACACGAATATGGGTCTTGAGATTGTACGATTTGTTGAATTCTTTGCCACAGTATTCACAAGGGTAAACTCTTCCTCCTTAAGACAAGTCAGAAATAATCATTTAAAAAGATTTCAGTCCCCACAGAACGGAGTAAGCGGCAAACGTGAAATTAGTTGTTAGGAAGTCAGTACTTTCTTTCAAGTCACTGCAGGTCCGCAGGTCTGCAGGTCTGCTCCCACCTAAAGCTGAGCACCATAGGCAGCTGCGCAGCAATAGAAAGTTTAACGTGCCAGTGTGCAAGACTGATCGTCTTAAAAAATCTTTTATTGTTAGCCATAGCCTAAGAATGTAAATAAATTTGTTTAAGTATGTATATTTTCCTAACACAAGGTTATCCTAAGTGAAATGTTTTTGTTAGATTTGTACATTTTTATTATTATAGTTTTTTAAATCCATTTTAACTATAACTTGTATATTATACACGTAATTCAGTCTTCGGACTGCGAGGTGTTTCTTTTTTAATAAACGATTTATCTCTATCTCACCGCACTGCATAACTGTTTTCAAGTAGACTGCTCCACTGATCCAATTACAATTTCACAAAAAACATCTGATATTAAAATGACAAGCAACATTCAACAAGGGTAACTATGACAGACAGAAAAATAAATTACCTCCACTTGAAACAACCCTTGTTGCTGTAAATGAAAACAAGTTTTGGTTAAAAACTTATTACTAGGGCAACGGGAACAATAAGGAAAGGTGGGAGAGAAAAGACGGAAGATGGGGGTTCTTAAAGGGTGAGAAGCAGGAGCAATTAGGGAAAATTATGCAACAATGATAAAATTTATCATATATATTAATTTTAATATTTTGCAATCCAAAAATGGCTTAGAGGAAGAAGTCGAGAAAAAAGGGGTGGGAACTGGGAATGCAATGCAAGAAACAGGAGGTGGGAGGTTTTCACCCCTTTATCCGCACCCCCAACTCCAGTGTTACACGGTGTATTTCTACAACCCTGGTCAAAACTCTTAAGACAAAAACACAATATCTTCAGTTGTCAAAATGACGCATTTTTCCTCTCCCTCCTCCCGCCCAGTGCACTGTTGGTGTTATACATTCAAGTTTTGATTCAACAAAATCAACACATCTTGGGGGAGAGGGGAACAGCAGAAATAGGCTCTTATAACAACATTGACCCTTAGCTTTTTAAGAGGTACAATGTAGAATGTGAGTTTAGAAAAGTCCAACTCTGCATTTAATTTCCTGTGTCCCAAGATGGCCAGTGCCCAGCAGTCTTTCTTGCTTTTCTTATTAATTCTACAAACCTAGAACACTTATAAATCCATTATAGGTGTTTCCTACTTTAACTCACCTGTAGCAGAATTAGCTGGAGCTACTGCAACAGGTAGCACAGCGACAACAGTAGTGTCAAGTTGAGAACGCACTTGATCGTTGGTGACCACCATATTTGGTCGCTGTATGGTCTGCACAGCTGACTGCACCTGCTGGAGAACTTCATTTGCTTCCTCATCTGGAACCTCTGCTTGCACTATCTCCATGACTAATATAAGGAAAAAACTACACATGAAGTAAAAACAATCAAGTCCGTCTCCCCCTAATCATAACCTCTTTCCCAGGGTCCTCTCCTACTCTGTCCCTGTGGTGAGGGAGAGAGACCTTAGTCACATGTCCCTTGGACAATTGAAATCATTCAGGAGGGGTCCTTCGATTTTGATATTTTGTCAACAATATTTTTATCAAGTTCAAAGAGAGGCTATTTGGAAATGAGTTACAAAGCATTTCGACTGCGACTGCGACTGCCATAATATGCATTATGTTTTTCAGTCTCTCTCTCTCTTTTGCCACTGGGGCCGAGTAGGAGAGGACCCTGGGAACTAGGTTGCCTTAATCAGTGTTGGCATGTGGTCAAACTGAACCAGCTGTCCACTACCCAGAGTTTTTCAGAAGCTCCTGTTAGTTTCTTGGTGATGCAGAAGGACTGCTGACCAACTCTGGGAAGACCGAACCTGATATCAACCCAGCCTTACTGAGTTACAGGAGTTGATCTCATCCAATCTGATGCTGGGTTTGTCGATGCCGTGCCTCGATTAAATTCCACCTATTATCTATTCTACCTATTAACATGGAAAGTTTGAAGCTAAACCAACCTTGTGGAGGTGCAGTTGTCTCCACGTCACAGTGGTGCCCAACATTTATCACTGTAGCTTCAATTGTCTCACAGCTGATTTGTTGGATCTGTGACATCTGTGACAACACATTGGCTGCTGTTGCTTCTTCTTCACTTGACATGGTTCACACTCTCTTCCTTGCTGTAAGCAGCAGATTGAATAACAGAATTGGCAAAGTTAACACCACATTAGTAGATAATATCTGTCTATTTTTAGGGCTTTGTTAAAAAAGATAGGTCTCAGGGAACACACAAACATTTTGTAAAATTTTACAGCCCTATACATTTTTTAACTTCTTATTTTTTGATCATTGATTTCCATCTCAAAGCCATCTCAAAGTCTCAAACATTCTGAACTCTCAACAATGTCACTTTGTTTTTGCTTGTTTGCTGGTCCCTATCCCAATAACTGTCAAAAATTTGAATAAATTTTATCAAACTTTCTTGGTGAGTCTTAATACATGCCAGATATTTTTTGCTTGTTTCTATCCCTTAGTCAAGAATAAATTATCAAACTAGAGTCTCACATCTTCTTATCTACTATCCCTGTATGATTTTTAACTGACTGAGTCAAAGTTGGGAGCTTATGTTCGGGCTATAGGAGAGACCAGTATCTCATTTCTGCTGGGAGGAATGGGTTTGGAGGGGGGGGAAGAATAATAACATGACACTCTTTGAATTGGAATTAAAACCCTTTAAGGAGACCAAGCTGGGCATGACCCAGGCTTTATTTGTCCCCTAGAGGGTGGATACATGGCATTTGCCTTTTTGAACATAACCCTTAGTGATAGCTCCATGGGTAAAAATGTTGGGTTTCTATCCAAAACTCCTTGAATTGCTAGACCAAAATCTGCAGTGTCTACAAACCCCACCCCTCCCCCTCATCCCCAGGCTCATTTCTCCATAAAACATCTCTGCTTTTGTTTACAAGTCTATTGAGGGAAAAATCATCAATGAAAGATAACATTTCTTGACATCAAAATGGAATATCCTTCACTTTTGTGGAAAATTTATATGCATTACTGGGTCTATAAGTGGACTCCTGTTACGAGAAAAAAATTGTGACATTGAGGAATATAAGTATGTTCATTAAATTTTTGGTTGCATTTGAAGCCAAAAGCATCCCTCTCAAAGATGACCCTTGTTTTCCTTAAAAAAATTTGCAAAATTATTAAAGGAAAAAGCACTTGATGGTAGGCAAAGAACAACAAGTTGCCTTGTGAGTATGTGGAAAAACCTGACAATTATGTATAGACTTGAGTCAACATTTTTGACATTAAAAAAGTGCAAAGTGGATAATCAACATCGTGAGAGTGTGTAATTTTCCAACTTTAGTATACAAAAGAGATCAAAAGTTTCTAATTTATAAAATTATGCTGATCTCTTCATAGATGTAACCACCAAGGGATCTTCTCTGATTCTCGTTCATTTCCTTGAGGAGTTAAATAATTTGAGCTGCAGATCCAGTATTTGGTTTATTCACTGGTTTATTTAAACTAAATATGCGAGGGAAAACAGCAGAAGCCCTAACAGACTTTTGATTTCTAAAATACACGATCCTTCCTTAAAACTCAAGACAAGAAACACTACAGCTTAAAATATACAAGAATTAAGCTAATCGTACTTTAGCTGGAAGATAGAATGTGCAGTAAGCTTATTTAAGCCGGTTCTCGGTCTAAATTGAAACGTGCACGCCAATTATATATTAAAATTAGCTCTCGACAACTTTAGTTGAACATAGCCAACTCCTTCTCCGATCACGAGGAAATGAAGCCAATCGCACTTGAACATTGATGATAAGTGATGACTGCTAGATGTCGATGAATCCAAGAGACAAACAATATGTGGACAGCAAAAAAAAAGGCGTGCTAGCTTAATGCCAGCCACAATACAAACGAAACTCTTCAACGAAACACCCGACACAATTTACGCTGTGGATCTCTTCCAAATTACCCACAAAACTGCACTAAAATGACTCTCTTTCTTTGCAAACATCCTTGATCGGAAAGTCCTACCTTCCAAATGCAGGAAAAGGTGAAATCTTGCTAAGTCACCGCGCCTTTCCAAAACAACAGTCAAAATGGTGGACGCTAAGCAAGCGTGGTTCCTTTGCGAAGTGGAGTTCCCACCATGCACTGCGCACTTTCAAAAGTTCAACATGGCGGCCGTGAACGTTTTGCACGAGGACGCTAGAAGACTGCAAGAAAAAGAGTGTTGCGTCCTTTGAATTGGTTAGTAATAGTTCTTACTGTATTTTACTAAAACTTGGTAGCGAGGGTTTTTTTTTCTGGGCGAAATGTTTTTTCCTCATGTCTTGATATGAGCTACAAAATCAAAACAAAATATATGTTAATTTAAGCTTGTATATGAAGCGTAGAGTCTGGTAAACATAAATCAAGAAACTGGTTTCTGTTCGCAGGCCCTGGGACACAGACAGATTCATTGCCCGGCCTTTTTGTTGATTCCCCTTCCCCACCGTACCTTTGCTGGGATGACTCTCCTGGGGGGGGGGGATCCCAGGGGGGTACACCGTACAGGAGTTAAAGTTACAGGACGATTAAAGGGGCCAAATGAAAACCCATTAAAATCCCTAGGGCTTCTAACAAAACCCCCCAACATCCCTGAAACAAAAATTAACTCCCCAAAATTCCCATGCCAAATTTCCGAGCCTTCAAAATTTTCAGTAAACAATAATATTAAATGATATAACATGCAAAAAATGGAAATTGAATATTGTATTATCTGAATTTATCTTTAGAATTTATCTTTCCCTTGGCATACGCACATGGTACTACAGCAATCTCCAGATTGTTTTAAATACCCCCAGCAAATTCTTTCTTAAATCAAGACACCAAAAAATACTTGCTAAACTTCCCCAAAAAATTGATGGAACAGAAAACTTCAATCCCAAGAAAATCCTTCAGTCATCCCTGTCACTTAAGCTTAAAAGTACCCCCAAGCAGGGGTGGATCCATGAGTTTTTTTAGGAGGGGGTGCACTCATCTCTTGCTCTACTTCAACACCAATAAAACACATAGTTTTTTTTTGTAGGACACCAGTTGTATTAGAAAACCGCAGGTCATCTCAGGGGGGGGGAGGGGTGCACATCCCCTGCACCCTCCCCCTAGATCTGCCCCTGCCATGTATGTTACAGGTCAATATTAAATTCAGGTTAAGATTTTTTATTTATGAATTAAAGCTAGGAGACAAAGGAAATTGAGAATTTTAAACCTGAATTTAATTTTGACCTGCAACAGAATATGGCAAACAAGGCATCAATGAACTTGTTGCAAATCCATTGACTCTCTGTTTTTTTTCATAGGATATGCAATGTATTTTTGACTCGATTTTAACTCAAGTTTGCCATGATTTCCAGAGGAGCAAAAGTAGCATTAGGAGGAGCATTTTGTTTTGCCTCAGCTGTAATATTTCTAGTACATCAGATGCAGAACACAGATCGTAAAAGACTCAAAGAAGGTGTGATTAGAGACATAGAGAGACAAGAGAGGAAGAGAAAGAATGTTGAAGAGTTGCAGCAACAGATTGAACTGACAAAGAAGTTGCAAAAACAAAGGGACAGTGATGTTTCTAATCAGAAAGAGAATGACGCAAGCTAACAAGAAGTATTTTTTTTGGTACTAAGACTTTCGTAAAATATGATCTTGTTGAGATCAAAATAATAACAGTGTAACAGTAGGTAACAAGCCATACATGTGCTCTAGGATGGGTGTTCTCTGACTATCAGCTTACTGCCTCACCCAATGCTCATTCAGAATCAAATCAACCATAATTGTGTAATTATGGTAATGACAGTAAATGCCAAAAATTTCCAGAAAATATTAACGTTGTGCCTTTTCAAAATATTCTCTCTGGCTGAAGGAAGCTCACATGCTGTTGTTGCGTACTGTAGGGTACAGTGCAGGGCCAAGTTCTTTGAACAGCATAGTTAGCAGTGGTCCTTGGTTAACTACAAATGGGGCATAAGGGGTTGTCATGGTAACTAATTACCTGAGTGGATTAATGCTTATTGGCTTTCAAACAACATAGCCATTGAATCATCTTGGGAGAGGGTCAACCTTGATGTAAGAACCTAAAAAGTGTCATTTTCGCTTTATAGCTCTTGGTTTCCTTTGCTCGAATACATAGAGTGCTTGTTTTATGTCACCTCTTAGAGTTACAGGGGATGCTTTTACAGGGGACGCTTTCCATTCAACCAAAAGGTCCAGTTTGAATTTTCAGCATTTTTCAAAATTTCCAAAAACAGGGCAACCTCGCAAGGTATACCCAAATCTTCGAAATTTTTCCAACTTTGCTCCCAGAAAATCTAGAATTTTTGGTTGAATGGTTTGCATTTTGGAAATTCAAGAGGTTTTCTTTGGAACTTGGAAAGGGCCTATTCACTCTGGTGTGCATGTGGTAGACAAGTCAAGAAGCAGGAAGTTGGGCAGAGGACTCCTCCCTCCCTCCCACTCTGATCTTTCAGCCATGCCTATCATGTTTATCACACCTTCCGGTCTTCCTGTCTTCCTGTAGCCTGAATTTTAGCCATCCACCCAAGTTACACAATCCCAGGATATGGTGAAACTTAAGGAGATGGCTCAAACTCAGCCTAGTCTTCTCAGTCCTTTTGTGTTTGCACAAGAAAAAAAAAGATGCAACCACAAACAGGAAATGCTAAGCACTTGCATGAGAAAAAACACCTCAAGTTACAAGGAGAACTAAGAAAAGGCCACTTTCAGGACTATACCAAGTAGAATCCTCAAGTATTTTTTAAAGAATGCAAAAAATCAAATGAATCATATTTATTAATATTTCCCATCACTAAGGTTAATGTTTTAACAAACAGGCAAAGCAAAAAGATGAGAAATTTCGAAAAATCTGGTTCAGAACGACATTTCTATGAATCTAACCAAAAAGATCTATAATGCCACTTTTCAAATATTTTTTATTCACTACCAGCATCTTGCACTGAAAGTTTCTTGAATTATTTTGTTCCTGGGTATGAACTTATTTTCAGTCTTTGTGCATGAAAAATAAAACAAATATTGATGATATTAATGTTCAGTTCATGAAGTGTTTGTTTACATAAAATTATGACGATGTCTTAAAGGAGCATTTCAGGTTATCACCACCATAACTGCTTAAGTTTCTCTTTAACCGTCCGTGTATCTGCAATCAAGTGTGACCTGAATGGAGACAATTAATTGAGGCACCATATCTAGGGATAGTCAATAAAACTTTGGTGTCATCTGCTTCCTCCAGCATTTTGAGCCTCTGTCTCAGGGCTAGCCTTCTAGACTATGCGACAGGCATTCTTTTGGCCTCTCATGCAACACATGTCCCAAGTAAAATTGAGAGTGTTGTGTAACAAGCTACAAGAACATTTTGTCTTGAGAGCTTGCACAGCATTTTGCAGAGCTACACCATAGTCTTGTTGATGTTTGTGTAACCAACTCCCACACATGACAGCAGAACTTTAGTCTCCCCACCAGTTGAACCATCATCACCAGATTGTTGTGCTTGGATTTTAAACATAACTCCAAAATATTCTTTCAGGTGCCTTAAAAACTGGATGCTGTTTGTGGAAGAAAAATAAAAAAGTACAAATTTCATTAAGTAAAGAATGCAAGGTCACACTTTCATACACCGACTCAAAAGTAAGAACTATCTTGTACGACATAATAAATGGCACCACAGGAAAATACTGCCCACTAGCTTCCATTTATATCAACAAACTTACGTGTGGGGTGTTAATGGTCCTGTTAGAAGTTTAGAAACATCTCTTTGTCCAAGGATCATATAAAGAAGTGCAAGACTCTGATGTCGAGAATCAACGCAACCTCCCTGTTGACAAAACAAAAATAAAAAAATGTAACGGACTCAAAGATAACCATTAAAGGACTACAACTGAGAAAAAATATGAAATATCAACTCTTCCTTCTAACTCTGCATTACACGCAGTGATGGAGAAAAATTCACCCACAACATGCGTACATGTAGTTAGAGAGGTGTCAGAGGAGCCTTGTGTGTAAATGACACCCAAAAGGTATCATCCCTACCCTGTAAATTTCTTCAAGGAGCATTTCAGCTGCCTGCTTGCCGAGATCTTCAGGAACAACTGACTGTCCTTCCCCCACTGGGGCAGATGCAGTCTGTATACTCAGAATGGAGCCAGTTGTTGATTCTGCCACCAAGGAAATGCCGAACCCTGGAGATCTGCACAAATTAACAAAAAACCAGACCTTGAGTTTGGTTTCCACTGTTGCATAATTTTTGCTCAATTTTAACGTTTACAGGTGTGACCTTCCATACATCACCTCTGTTTTATATACACGTGTAAATTTTAAATGCATTCGCACACAAAAAAATTACTAGATAGTGGAAATCCACCCTCAGCCTCTAAAAAGTGTTCTCCATTCATTTCATATGGAACTGACAAGAAACAATAGTCAGTACTTATAATCAAGACAATGTGCATGGTAGCTTAGTCAGAAAATTTCCTTTTTTCTCTTAGTTTACAAAACTGGGTTTGATTCTGCACTGTGATGACTGACAAGGCAAACATTTTTCAGGACCTCAGGGTTGGTCTTCTCCTTACACCATTTTAATATTATTTTGACAGTGAGGAAAAATTCTTCAAGTTTGGCTGTATAAAAAAAACTCCTTCTACAGTACTTCACACAGTCAGTTTCTTTCTTATTTGCAAAATTCAATTTTTTATTTCTTACAAAATTTTTGAGTCCTCAGAGAGTAACAAATGAGGTTAACCCTTTAAGTGCCAATAGTGACCAACAACAAGTTTCTCCTAACATTATCCATACACTGTCAAGAGATAAAGTTATGAGAATTAATAAAATGATCCCGATAGAGAAAATGCTTTGATCTTTGATCAAATTCTCTCAAGTAATATTGTTAAAGGAGATGTATGGAGATCAGTTTGGAGAATTTGTATGTGGATATTGGGGCTTAAAGAGTTAATGTTGCGCATACTTTCCAGACTGGGCTCCTTTGCAGTGATCTGTGTAAATATAGATGTCCGAAACAAACTGATTCAGCACACCACGTTAGCATCAAATCATTGCATATTGCAGGTGACACGGAAGAAACTGGAATCAACCAATCAAATTGCAGTTTGATTTATTGTGTCAGATGGAATAAGAAATGAAAAATAACCATACCCATCCCATCCCTCTAAGTGTCATTGGAGATTTTACCAAAATTTTTGCCAAATCTTCAAAGGAAAGTATGAACCAAAAGCAAAATTTCTAGAGTAATAATAATAATAATAATAATAATAATAATAATAATGGTTTATTAACAGTGTATCCACCTAGTGGCTCTTCACCTGTTAAAAAACTACAATATAAAAAATAAAAAAACTATAATAAACAACAAAAAGAAAAAAAATTGAAATTTATCTACAAATATAAAAAGCAATAATATTGGACTATAAAAGGATTATTGTATAAAAAAATAAAAATGTAATAAAGATTAGTAATATAAATACAATCCTACATGCAATTTACAAACTATTTACAAATATTATGTAATAGAGGCATTAACTTCCCTACAATATACTCTGAAATCGCTACAGTTTCTAATATTTGCCGGAAGGACATTAAGGAGTGGTAAGGCAAGGGGGGTAAGAGTATAGATGTTTTCTGAAGCAATTCAGTGTAATTGACAGTGTATTTCAATAAAATAACACATTGATGGTAAGCAAACTACTTTAATTGAGAGCCATTTTAGGCATATTATATTAACCCTTTAAGTCCCAATAGTGTCTAACGTCAATTTTCTCCTAACGATATCCATACAATGTCAAGAGATTAGGTTATGAGAATTAATAAAATGATCACATGCAGATATAATTCTCCCAACTTATTCTTGAAAAATCATAGAGATCATTTGGAGAATTTGTTTGGATACTGGGGCCTAAAGGGTTATCCGATACCATTTACATAAATATCTTTGTACATCAGAAAAATAACTGTCATCACATGGATAGGTCCTCTTATCCGTTTTAATCTGTATTCTTTCTCAAACTCTTTCTTACAGGACAAGAGAAAGTCACCTCCCCTCCCCCCTCGGGAGGTGCCCCTCTTTTAAGTATCTGCAACATTCAATGTAAATAAACAACACTTTAGTTTATTCTGAAGTGAATTTATAATCTTGTTCCGCATAAAGCGAGTGTACCGCGCATGGTCTTAGCCAGCTGCAAAGTCAACAACCCCGATTCAGGTTTTTCTAGTTCATATACCAGGTTAAATATCACATTAATGCCTTTAGCAAACACAGTGATACTGTTGTCAAATAATCAATTGAAATAAGTAACAGTTACTGTTGACACTGGTACATAAACCACACCTACTCCCCCTAGATTTTTGTTGACAACATGCAGTATGGCTTATCTTGGAGAAAATCTTGAAACTTAGGAATCCAAACACCCCTCCCATAAAAAAAAACCAAGAATGTTCAACAAAGTAATCTATTTTAGTCTGTTGAACTGTCTGACACTCATACACTGTTATAGGTCGACTTCATCTCTATCGCCTAAAGTACACTTGTAAATGGTTGCATGAATACCTTAAGATCAAGCCCCTCATCATCAACTACAAATTTCTTGATCAAAGGTATGGTGACCGTCTTGATGATATCAACCTAAAACGGATTAATAAAATTATGGTTTTTACTGAAAGGAATCGATTATCAAAAGATAATCAGAAAAGGAGAAAACAAAAAACAAACATTGCCTTTTGATATTAACATGATGATTGCTTATAATCAAAGGACTGGCAGCAAGGACTTTTTGTCAAAGATTTATAAAAATGGCAAGATGTACATGTAAAACCAGAATTTGGATAAAAAATCAACATTCATCATACAAGAGTTGCAAAATTATTTTATGACCTGTATTTCACTAATATCATTTGCTATGCCAGGCGATGACAGCAACAATAATTTTTACAACAACAAACAATAAAATGGTTCTGCAGCATGACATTTTTCTCTCTTACCGTAGGGTCATATCTATCATTGGTAACTCCTTTCAGATTTAATCTAAGTGGTTTCTTGCAAAAAGGTGCCAGCATGACCACTGCCTCTAAGTAGTAACCGACTGATCTTTGAGGATTGCAGACATGCTCCACAGGACCCCCAGCTAAGAGACCAGGCTTATAAAATAACATTGTACCTAAAAAGTGACAGTTTTTAAAGTTAGATTGAAATTTGTTGATGGACTCTCCCCATAAAGGCTACTGCAAGGCTGATTTTCACTAGCGATGGAGTTGGAGTCAGAGTCAGAGTTGTAATCAGAAGCATAGGAGTTAACAATCTGGTGAGAACAGCGTTCTGCTTCCACTTACGACTCCATCACTCATGATCAAGTGAAAACTTGGTTGTCAGAGTCACAAGCAGAAGCAGAAAAACTAAATCAATCACAAAGCATAGGAACGTGCATTGAGATTGGTTTATCCTTCAGCTTCTGCTTCCGACTCCAACAATCTGGTTTTCACTAGATTGTAAGCAATGGAGTTGTAAGCAGAGTAAGACGAAAATGCAGATGTTCTGATTCTTCTAACTCCAATTTAAACACACTTATGACTTTCAGCTACGAACTTACACATCAGCTTACGATACTGACTCCGACTCCGTCAACAGTGAAAAGCAGCCTATAGAGAGGAAACCCTAGGGGAAGTACATTCATCTTATCTCAATCCTAGACTCCTTGTCCTTTGGTAAGTTGAAGATAATGCCATTTGCCCCTTCAAGTTCAGCAGGGAAGACCAATACTTGACCGGGAACCACCCAATCAACATTGTCCCATAAAAATCATGCAAGTGATTTATGTCCAACACAATGATGATAGGAGATAACCCATCACAAAACACCTTCTCAAAAAATTGAGTGGGTCATTTCTTGCACAGGCCCATTTTTTTTCAGTTGATGTAAGTTACATAAGAGGAAAAGAATAGTGAGCCACAGGTCACCCACTTTACTGGTTGTAGCAGAACTTAGGACAATAGCAATTTCATCTCCCTCCCAGAAAGGTCCCCACTTCACACACACACCGGATAAATTTTTAAGAATCCATAATGTACTGGTACGAGCCTCACTGTACCTGTTTCATTCACCTCTATTCTAGATCCATTCGTTAACTTGTCAAGAAGTCGTATAAAACTTGCTTCAAAATCTATTAAGAAAAACACGCTTTAGATGAAATGATGAGAAATGAGAGAGTTTGAAAACTGTTCGGTGGAGACTGGCTGTCTATCAAAAAGAGAAATAAACAAACCCTAGCTGCTAAATGTGATCTAAAGTGAATAAAAACTTCTGACCTTTTAACCCAGGATCGTCCTCATTAGCTCTTATGTTTTTAATCTTTACCGATTTTCCACTAAGTGTCCCTAAAACAAGTCTTAGACGAAAGAAGTTACAACCTTCGTATGTCAAATCAGCCGCCATATTGAAAACAAACGCACGTGGATACAAGCGCTTATACGCATGATTTGAGAGGTACGTTGCTGACCACAACGATGACTGCTTCATAAAGTCGTTTCCTTTTCAAGATGGCGGACGATGACATGGAAGGGTGAGTATTTCTTTGAATTTTTTTCTGCAAAATAATCACCGAAACTGGTTTATTAAAGGGCTAAGTTGTATTTCCACCCTGCTTCGTTTTCAAAGGGTTTCTAGCTACCTGAAAATGAAATGAGTAGAAAAGAATACGCTTACATGAAAAGTCGTACGGTCGTTGTTCATAATTCCGATTGAACATGCATGCGGTACGTACAAAACCTTTAGCCAATCTTTAGCGAAGCGTGATTTTAAGTTAATTTTTTTTTCACAGATATGATGATGACCTCGATGAGGTTGAAGAAGAAGACCATTTCGAAGATGTGGATGATCTAGAGGTAAAAACAACAGCCTTTGCTCTTTGGATGAATCCAACTCGCTCAGTCGTTATCTAGTAACTACAATTTTCTTCCCATACATTTTCTGTAAGTCAACACTATCAAAACTACAGAAAATGTACAGGAAAATTGAAGTTTTCTCAAAACTGATCACGGACTTCTTTGCACTCCAGATTAGTGTATTGTTTCTTTGAAATCCTAAGCTACTCTTTTCAAAGCAAAAGCATCAAATACCGTAAAATTCCGAAAATAAGGCCCTCCATGTATAAGCCCCTCCAAATATAAGCCCCCAAACCGGTAACACAAAAAACCCTCCTTTAAATCGCCCCTCCAAACATAAGCCCCCCAAGGGCTTGTACTTGGAATATTTCCCTCAAATACAAAGTAAAACAAAGCAAAAACAAATTTATGTAAGGCTATATTCCGAATTTTCCCTCCATAGATAAGCCCCTCCGAATATAAGCCCCTCCAAAAATAAGCCCCTCAAAAAGGGCCTTTGAAAAATATAAGCCCCGGGGCTTATTTTCGGAATTTTACGGTATCTGAATTCAGAGAGAATTAGCTGGCTTTGAATACCAATACAAATCTTTGAATTTCCCGCCATCTTGCCATGATTACCCATGATGCAACTATGAGCCTAAACTCCTCTATATTTCCTGTTTGTTTTGTTATTTTTAGCCGACAGAAGACACTGAAAACATTGATGTTCTTCCAGCGTCAGGTTAGTTTGTGTAATATTTATGTAAGTTTTCCTTTAAAACAAGTAAGTGTTACAAAAGTGATCATTTTATACCTTGGTTACCAGAGATTTTTTCTCCAGTCTGACCAGGAGCTTCATCAACCAAAAAAATAAACCGCGCATAAAAAGCCTCTGCCACCCAGGGTAAATTTTTTTATTCAAGTCGTCCTACTCAATAGACCTTTTTACCGATATGGTGGCCATATTGAATTTATTAGATTTAAGGAGTATTATAGGGAGCACATTTTGTTTCTATTTTTGAGCACTTTTCAGGACATTTTTTCTTAAAGTTTTCTTAGAATAAGATTGTAATGGGAGAGAAGATCCTTGTGCCATGTTTGGATGTAATAATGATCGCCTTTTTCTTGTTTAGTATTAGAAATATGGTCTTTCACTGTATATTTCTCGGGTAAAAGGCAATCATTATTACATCCAAACACGGCACAAGGATCTTTTTTCCCATTACAATCTTATTCTAAGAAATCTTTAAGAAAAAATGTCCCAAAAAGTGCTTGAAAATACAAACAAAATTTGCTCATGCCTGCTGCGCATCCTATAATACTCCTTCAATCTAATGAATTCAATATGTCCACCGTATCGGTAAAAAGGTCTATTTAGTCACACTAGTTACCCAAGTAACCCTGACATAGGGTGACATAGGGTGAGTTGGGTGACTACAGTGAGTAGAGTTACTTAGGATGTCTAGGGTGACAAGGCTGACTAGGGTGAGATAGGGTGACTACAGTGACTTGGGTGACATAGGATGACTAAGGTGACTAGCATGACTAGGGTGAATAGGGTGACTTGGGTGACCAGGGTGACTTAGGATGACTAGGGTGACTTGGGTACCTACCTTGACTACGGCGACTTAGGGTAACTAGAGTGACTAGGGTGATGTAGGGTGACTAGGGTGAGTTGGGTGAGTAGGGTGACTTAGGTGACAAGGGTGACATAGGGTGACTAATGGTGACTTAGGATGTTTAGAATGACTTGGCTGACATAGGGTAACTAAAGTGACTAGAGTGACTAGGATGACTAGGGTGAATTGGATGAGTTGGGTGACTTAGGGTGACGAGGGTAACTACCGTGACTACAGTGACTTAGAGTGACTAGGGTGACTTGGGTGACTAGAGTCACTAGGGTCACTTAGGGTGACTAGGGTGACTAGGGTGACTTGGGTGAGTAAGGTGACTAGGGTAAGTTGGGTGAGTAGGGTGACTTAGGTAGTCACCCTAGTCACCCTAGTCATCCTAGTCCCCCTAATCAACCTAAGTCACCCTAGTCAGGGTAAGTCACCCTAATCTTCCTAGTCACCCTAGTCACCCTAGTCACCCTAGTCACCATAGTAATCCCAGTCATCCCTAGTCATCCCTAGTCATCCCTTATCATCCCTAGTCATCCCTAGTCATCCCCGTCATTCCTAGTCATCCCTAGTCATCCGTAGTCATCCCAGTCATCCCCAGTCATCCCTAGTCATCCCTAGTCATCCCAGTCATTACTAGTCATCCCTAGTCATCCCTAGTCATCCTTAGTCATCCCTAGTCATCCCAGTCTTCCTAGTCATCCCTTGTCATCCCAGTCATCCCTAGTCATCGCTAGTCATCCCTAGACGTCCTTAGTCATCCCAGTCATCCCTAATCATCCCTAGTCATCCCTAGTCATCCCAGTCATTACTAGTCATCCCTAGTCATCCCTAGTCATCCTTAGTCATCCCTAGTCATCCCAGTCTTCCTAGTCATCCCTTGTCATCCCAGTCATCCCTAGTCATCGCTAGTCATCCCTAGACGTCCTTAGTCATCCCAGTCATCCCTAATCATCCCTAGTCATCCAAGTCATCCCTAGTCATCCCAGTCATCCCTAGTCATCCCTAGTCATCCCTAGTCATCCCTAGTCATCCCTAGTCATCCCTAGTCTTCCCAGTCATCCCTAGTCATCCCTAGTCATCCCTAGTCATCCCAGTCATTCCTAGTCATCCCTAGTCATCCCTAGTCATCCCTAGTCATCCCTAGTCATCCCAGTCTTCCTAGTCATCCCTTGTCATCCCAGTCATCCCTAGTCATCCCTAGTCATCCCTAGTCATCCTTAGTCATCCCAGTCATCCCTAGTCATCCCAGTCATCCCTAGTCATCCCTAGTCATCCCAGTCATCCCTAGTCATCCCTAGTCATCCCTAGTCTTCCCAGTCATCCCTAGTCATCCCTAGTCATCCCAGTCATCCCTAGTCATCCCTAGTCATCCCTGGTCATCCCAGTCGTTCCTAGTCATCCCTTGTCATCTCCATCATCCCTAGTCACCCCAAGTCATCCCAGTCATCCCCAGTCATCCCTAGTCATCCCTAGTCATCCCTAGTCATCCCTGTCATCCCTAGTCATCCCTAGTCATCCCAGTCATCCCCAGTCATCCCTCGTCATCCCAGTCATCCCTAGTCATCCCTAGTCATCCCTAGTCATCCCTAGTCATCCCTAGCCATCCTTAGTCATCCCTAGTCATCCCAGTCTTCCTAGTCATCCCTTGTCATCCCAGTCATCCCTAGTCATCCCTAGTCATCCCAGTCATCCCTAGTCATCGCTAGTCATCCCAGTCATCCCTAGTCATCCCTAGTCATCCTTAGTCATCCCAGTCATCCCTAGTCATCCCTAGTCATCCCTAGTCATCCCTAGTCATCCCTAGTCATCCCTAGTCATCCCACTCATCCCAGTCATCCTAGTCATCCCTAGTCATCCCTAGGCATTCCAGTCATCCCTAGTCATCCCTAGTAATCCCAGTCATCCCAGTCATCCCTAGTCATCCCTAGTCATCCCAGTTATCCCTAGTCATCCCTAGTCATCCCACTCATCCCTCGTCATCCCTAGGCATTCCAGTCATCCCTAGTCATCCCACTCATCCCTAGTCATCCCTAGTCATCCCTGGCCGTCCCAGTCATACCCTAGTCATCCCTTGTGATCCCCGTCATCCCTAGTCATCCCTAGTCTTCCCAGTCATCCCTAGTCTTCCCAGTCATCCCTAGTCATCCCTAGTCATCCCAGTCATCCCTAGTCATCCCTGGTCATCCCAGTCATTCCTAGTCATCCCTTGTCATCCCCATCATCCCTAGTCATCCCAAGTCATCCCAGTCATCCCTAGTCATCCCTAGTCATCCCTAGTCATCCCAGTCATCCCAGTCATCCCTAGTCATCCCTAGGCATTCCAGTCATCCCTAGTCATCCCTAGTAATCCCAGTCATCCCAGTCATCCCTAGTCATCCCTAGTCATCCCTAGTCATCCCACTCATCCCTCGTCATCCCTAGGCATTCCAGTCATCCCTAGTCATCCCTAGTCATCCCACTCATCCCTAGTCATCCCTAGTCATCCCTGGCCATCCCAGTCATACCCTAGTCATCCCTTGTGATCCCCGTCATCCCTAGTCTTCCCAGTCATCCCTAGTCATCCCTAGTCATCCCAGTCATCCCTAGTCATCCCTAGTCATCCCTGGTCATCCCAGTCATTCCTAGTCATCCCTTGTCATCCCCATCATCCCTAGTCATCCCAAGTCATCCCAGTCATCCCTAGTCATCCCTAGTCATCCCTAGTCATCCCAGTCATCCCTAGTCAACCGTAGTCATCCCTAGTCATCCCTAGTCATCCCAGTCATCCCTAGTCATCCCTAGTCATCCCACTCATCCCTCGTCATCCCTAGGCATTCCAGTCATCCCTAGTCATCCCTAGTCATCCCACTCATCCCTAGTCATCCCTAGTCATCCCTAGTCATCTGGCCGTCCCAGTCATACCCTAGTCATCCCTTGTGATCCCCGTCATCCCTAGTCATCCCTAGTCTTCCCAGTCATCCCTAGTCATCCCTAGTCATCCCTAGTCATCCCAGTCATCCCTAGTCATCCCTAGTCATCCCTGGTCATCCCAGTCATTCCTAGTCATCCCTTGTCATCCCCATCATCCCTAGTCATCCCAAGTCATCCCAGTCATCCCTAGTCATCCTTAGTCATCCCTAGTCATCTCTAGTCATCCCTAGTCATCCTTAGTCATCCCTAGTCATCCCAGTCTTCCTTGTGATCCCTTGCCATCCCAGTCATCCCTAGTCTTCCCAGTCATACCTAGTCATCCCTAGTCATTCGTAGTCATCCCAGTCATCCCTAGACTTCCCTAGTCATTCAAGTCATCCCTAGTCATCCCTGTCATCCCTAGTCTTCCTTAGTCATCCAAGTCATCCGTGGTCATCCTTAGTCATCCTTAGTCATCCCTAGTCATCCCAGTCATCCTAGTCATCCCTAGTCATCCCAGTCATCCCCAGTCATCCCTAGTCATCCCTTGTCATCGTAGTCATCGTTAGTCATCCCTAGTCATCCCAGTCATCCCCAGTCATCTCTAGTCATCCCTAGTCATCGCAGTCATCCTTAGTCATCCTTAGTGAAAAAATAACCTGAAGTAAAAAAGAATCGGTGGTGTGTGAAGCCTTATTTTACTTGAAGTAATTAAAATTTACTTGTCTTGAAGTATTTCTTAGTTTATTTAGACTCTAGTGTAAAGACTACCAATGTTCTGGTTTTCTTTGATTAAAAAAGGCAGTAAAGTGTCGCAAATAACATAGGATGATATAAAATGGAATGCAAATAAAATTTTTTGTAGGAAAAAAAGTCAGATGCAGATTAGATCAGATACGACTGGGAGAATTGCTGAGAAAAACATATTATTTGGACTCACTAGGAATTGTAGGCGCATAAGGCAAAAGGCTTAAGGATATAGAACTCCAATACTGGATGAGGGAAAGGAGTAACGACATGACAAGAGAAGCTGACCAAAATAACATAATGAGAACATACCAAAAATTCAAAACAATAGAAAATTGCAAATGTGATGATTACCTTCACTAGGTCACCAATACCTGCCACAGAATAACGTTAACAAAATTGCGATTAAGCAACCACGTGCTCGCCATAGAAACGGGCCGATATTTAAGACCTTTTAAAAAACCTGTAGAAAGAATATGTCCAATGTTTAAACTAGAAATGGAGGATGAATATCACTTTTTAACTCTGTGTCCAGCTCACCAGGAAAAAAGAAATGTTGTATTCGATAACTTGAAAAATGAACATCTTATAAGAAGGAACAAAATATCACCAAATGAAATATTCATGTTTTTAATAAATCTCCCGAAAGATTAGCCTGAAACCCAAAAATTGAAAGTGAAGCATGTGTTCGAATGCTTTAAAATAAGTAACAAGAAGGAAGACAAAAGTAGATCAAATATGTGTCTGTGTATGTAACTATCGCTATTTGTACCAACTTGTTATGTAAAATGCAGTGATATAGAAAGTATCTGGAAAACAGTCGATGTACCAGGTGGTATAAGATCCAAATAAATATTGTCTTGTCTACTCACCCTAGTCACCCTAGTTACGCTAGACACCCAAGTTATCCTAGTCACGCTAGTCACTCTATCCATGTGCATACTGTGCGTACAGGTAGCTTACTAACAGTAATTGTTTTTTCACCATTTCGTTATGTATCTTCGATTATATTTTTCAACTATGGAGACCAGCCTTAGAGCTGAATGGGCTACCCTATGTAAATAAAGTTTTACTTTACTTTACTTTACTTTTTAGAAGAAAGTCAAGAACTTACGAAAAGAATAACGACTCCATATATGACAAAGTATGAGAGAGCCAGAGTGCTTGGGACAAGAGCATTACAGATAAGGTAATGGTCAGTTTGGATGGAGTGTTTGCAGGGAAGGTGAACACTCCAATTCACAGTTTTGAATGTTTACTGGCTATGTTTTTCAAGAACAATGGGTGAGACACTGCACAACTTGAAGGATTTCAAACAATAATAGTAATCACCAAGTGATGCTAGTCAGATGCTC